TCCTCCTCTCCACGGGTGCCTACAGCACACACTCCCAAGCATTGCATGCTCTGAGCGTGCCTCGCCGCCTGCGGCTTCCCCTCCCCGCGCCCGCGCCATCGATCGCCCTGTTGTGACCAATCAGGCCCCCATAGCGTCCCTTGGCTGCCTGGGACCGCGGCGTGGGTCCGCGCCGCTGCGACCAAACGTTCGTTCCAGCGGCGCGCCGACCCAACGAAAAGCAGGACTGGGCGCTGGCCTTCTCGAGTGTTCGTCCCGCGTGTGATAGGGGATGAAGATCCATGACACATTGTGATACGCCGCCGTGTGATGTTCCCAAGGGGTTGAGGTGGCTCACAGAGCAGTTGGGCCCGACGGACCACGCATTCGAATTATGCTCATGATTGGCTGCCCGATTGTATCTTCCGCGTGTGCTGATTTACCCTGGGCTGGCGTTATTCGGTGTCATCGTTGTCTCTGTTTCCGCGCTTCTCCGACGCGTCCCTTGTACAGCTGTTCCCACGCTCGGTGTGTTATCCGTTTCTTCTCTGTGTATTTGGCGATGCCGTGTGTGAGCTCGCTCTTTAACTGTTCGTTGTTATGGCTTCAATGTTGACTCGTGCGTTCAGCGTATCGCCCTTCGTCCTGCAGAGCAGCGAGTACCAGCTGCGGACCTTAGCTGTGTTTCGGTCTCAGCTTTTCGATTTCCCGTAACTGCAGTGCTGGAAGCCGTGCCCCTCGTCTCCACCATTGCCACGGCCTCCTCCATGTTCGCTTCCGCCTCCGCATTCACCTTCGCCTCCGCTTGCAATGCCTGCATCTCCGCCTCCACCTCCACCTCTGCCGCCGCCGCCTCCTCCTCCTTCTCCTCCATCGCCGCTGTGACGGTTGACAGTTGAACCCAGTTGCCGGGAGGAGTGCGTATTAATGCGGCGTTGCGGGGCAATGCCGCACTGGGGGCCGGGATGCCTACTGCGGGGTGGTTGCACTTCGTCGTGGGTGCGTGCCTGGATTGCTTTCGGGGCCGGCCAGATATACCCAAATGTATCCGTCCGCGCTGCTTACACCTCCAACTCCACTTCCTCCTTCCTCCTCTGCGCGTGGTGCCTCCGTGCCCTCTTTCCTTCGCCCGCCGCTCCGCCGCTGCCGCCCGCCTTGCGGGCAGCGGGCGCCGCGGCGTTTCAGAGCACGACCGCGCGAGCGACCCGCGGATCACTACCACGACCACGACGACGACAACGGCGGCGACGCTGTCAACGGCGGCGGCGGCGGCGACGTTGTCGACGGCGACGGTGGCGACGGTGTCGACGGCGGCGGCGGCGGCTTCGATGGCGACGGCGGTGACGACTGCGACTGCGACCGCGAAAGTCTCGGGAGGTGCCCCGAGAGGCTCCCAGGAGGGGCCCCGAGAGACTCTCCAGAGGCCTCCCTGAGGTTTCCCCTCCCCCTGAGGCCTTACGAAGCCCCAGGCGCGCTCAAAATCTTCGAAGACTTCTGCTGACACCCGAAACTTCAGAGACCTCCTCGAAGATCTTCAGAGACCTCTTTCGAACATCTCCGGAGAAGGCCCAACGCCCCCCGACATAACGTCCGGCGGCGGAGCTGCCGCTTTTCGCCGAGAGGTGGGAACGTTCACTGCTGGCGTGGCGCGTATTCTACCCCTCCCTCACCATCACCGTCGCCATCACCGTCACCATCGCCATCACCACCACCATCCACAGCCTCCTCCTCCTCCTCCTCCTCCTCCTCCTCCTCCTCCTCCTCCTCCTCTTCCCTGTCCTGCACGTCGTCCCTGTTCGTCGCCCCCTCCTCCCAGGAGGAGTCCGCTGCCAGCAAGGAAAAAACGAGAGGGTGTCTGGCGGCCGCGGCGCGCGGGCACGCGCCCGCCCGGCGCCCCGAGGACGCGGCGCTCGTGGCCCGGGTGGAGGGCCTGCAGCGGCGGGTGGCGCAGCTGGAAGCCGAGCTGGCCGTGGTGCGGCCGCGGGACGGCCCCGCCCCCCGCGGCGCCCGCCGCCGTGGCCTGCGGGGGTGGTGGTGGCCGGGGGTCGGAGGGAGAGGGGGAGGAGGAGGAGAAGGAGGAGGAGGAGGAGGAGGAGGAGGAGGAAAAGGAAAAGGAGGAGGAGGAGGTGGATGATGATGATGATGATGATGATGATGATGATGATGATGATGATGATGATGATGATGATGATGATGATGATGATGATGATGATGCCCCGCGGCGCCCGCCGCCGTGGCCTGCGGGGGTGGTGGTGGCCGGGGGTCGGAGGGAGAGGGGGAGGAGGAGGAGAAGGAGGAGGAGGAGGAGGAGGAGGAGGAGGAAAGCGAAAAGGAGGAGGAGGTCGGTGGATGATGATGATGATGATGATGATGATGATGATGATGATGATGATGATGATGATGATGATGATGATGATGATGATGATGATGATGCTGATGATGATGACGTAGGAGGAGGAGGAGGAGAAAAGGAGGAGAAGGAGGAGAAGGAGGAGGTGGATGATGCTGAGGATTGATGAGGTGAGGAGGGAGGAGGAGGAGGAGGTGATGATGATGATGGTGATGTGAGCGATTGATGAATGATGGTGATGTGATGTGATGATGATGATGATGATGATTATGACTGGATGATTGGCTGCTGCGCTGATGAAGATGATGATGATGATGAGGAGGAGGAGGAGGGAGGAGGGAGGTCGGAGAGAGGAAGGGGACAGAGGAGGATCGAAGGAAGAGGAGGAGGAGGTGGAGATGGAGTTAGGAGGAGGTGGCAGGAGGAGGAGTGAGGCGGAGATGGAAGGAAGAGGAGCGAGGAGGAGAGGGCGGAGGAGGACGATGAGGAGGCATGGAGTCGAGGAGGTAGGAGGAGGGCGGCAGGAGGAGGAGGAGCGAGGAGGAGCGCTAGAGGAAGAGCGAAAGGGACGAGGAGGGTAGGAGGAGAGCGCAGGAGGAGGGCGGTGGAGGTGTGGCGGAGGAGGACGGAGGAGGAGGAGGAGGAAGAGGAAGAAGAGGAGGAGGAGGAGGAGGACGTAGCGAGACAGAAGGAGGAGGAGGAGGAGAAGGAGGAGGAGGAGGCACGAGGAGGGAGGAGGATAGGGCGGAGGAGGAGTGAGGAGGAGGAGGAGGAGGTGGAGGACGGAGGAGGAGGGAGAAGGAGGAGGTAGGAGGTGGAGGCTAGACGCGGAGGAGTAGGAGGAGGAGGAGGAGGAGGATCCATCGCCGATGGAACGAACACGCGGCAGCACGGAACACGAGGAACGAACACGAGGAACGAACACGAGGAGGAGGATCCATCGCCGATCGAACGAACACGAGGAGGAGGATCCATCGCCGATGGAAGAGGAAGAGGAGGAGTAGGAGGAGGAGGAGGAGAGGTGGAGGAGGAGGAGGAGGAGGAGGAAGGAGGATGAGGAGGAGGAGCAGGCGGAGACAGATGTCCGCAGCCATTTTGGCTCAAGCCCGTAGCGGTTGCTCAGGACAGAAGTTCTTTTTGGCAGTGGGGAGAGACGGCCCTAATTGCTATACCGCACGGCTTTCGCAAGCTCGCTACAAGGTGAGATGGGCAGCAAGGATCAGATGTTCGGCCCTCTGGGCCGCGTCGGTCGCGCCGGAAGCGCAGTCGAAGCGAGAGCTGGGCGTCGCGAGTTCGGTGATATATAAATACATATTGATTATATAAATACATATACAAATATATATGTATATATACATACATATATACACATACATGTGTGTGTATGTGTGTATGTGCGTGCGTGCGTGCGTGCGTGCGTGCGTGTGTGTGTGTGTGTTTGTGTGTGTGTTCGTTCGTTCCCCCGCCTAATGCGGGACGCCGTATCTTCACACCGTCTCAACCCAGGCCGCGCGCCAAGGCAAACGATGCAGGCGGCGGTGGGTGAGGGGGAAGTACGTGGGTGGGGCACGGTCCGCTGTGCAGCCACCCAACACCAAAATACGCACCCCGCACGCCGCTCTTGAAAGCACCCAACCGCCAGGACCGGCCCCTTCCCCGCACTGGTGGAGCCAACCTACGCACAAACACACGCGACGCAAGACAACCACGGAGCTGCAGCCGGCGCTGCATGCAACCCGTGCTGCATGCGCGCTGTCTCGGCGTGGAAAGCTGTCAGTCGGTTCCGGGTGGCGTGATGGGGCGCACCTGCACCGCGCGACTCCGCACAAGGCTCACGGGAGCATGTGGGAACGCGGGTGGGTGAGAGCGCGTGTTTGAGCCACCCATGTGTGTGTGTGTGTGTGCGTGTGTGTGCGCAGCCAAGCCATCGCTGCAACAGGAGGCACCCATGGAAACGAATTCGCAGTAAAACGTATCATTAACCTCGGACCTGTGTTCCCGTGCGGGGTCCCGGCCGAGATACGCCAAAACTTCACTACCCAATTCGGGCAGCTACGGAGAGAGGAAGAGGAGGAGGGAAGAGGAGAGGGCAGGAGGGGGCAGTGGGGCACGCGGTGGCAGCAGCGCAATGCTGCACGCTCCGCCGATGCCGCAAAAAAACGAATCCGTCGTAACGCCAGCCGGCCCTGGCGACGCGACGGGAGACACCGGCGTCGTCGTAACGCCCGCTCGCGGCGAGACGTCAGCAAGGGTACGCCAAAACTGTACTGCCTAATCCAGGCAGCCATGGAGGGAGGCAGAGGGGGAGGAAGAGGGAGGTCAAGGGGAGAGAGAAGAAAGGGAGAGGGGAGGACCACGGCGCCACGCCGCACCGCGCAGCGCATCACAGCCAGCGACAGGTGCGTGCGTGTGGGCAGGCGTGCGCGGGACTGTTTCTTCCACAATGCCGACATGGAAGCTGCACGGGCTCAGCCAAACGATGGGCGACGGCACTGGCTGGGCGCACGAACGCCTACAGAAAAAAACATCGAGTACCAGGAAGCAGGCGGGAGGGGGAAGGAGGGGAGAGAGGCAGCGTGACGCAGGCTAAGGATGCTAAGGCGCACGCGATCAGACAGCAGCCTCAGGAGGAGGCTTAGGGAGTCACGAAGCCACGCTGCCGCGAGGGAGG